TCCTGAGACTGCCCAGCCAATGCAAATACCACAGCCAGCTCTGGGCGAGCTATCCCAGCCTAGGAGCAACTCAGAGCCCATGCAGCCAAGCCAAGAAGACCAATTGAGCACTGAGTAGCTGAGCCAGCTGCTTCCTACACAGCAGAGGGGAACCCAGACTGTTTCCTTTTATGTCCCCTTCCTCCTCCTCCGCCTCCATCATCATCATCATCATCATCATCATTATCCCTAGAGATAAAGTGGAGGCGTGAACAGAGCTGTGAGAGACCCAGGCTCTCTCCTTGTGTGGACTGATGCAGGAGGCTTGATGGAGCTCTTCTCTGGGCACATGTGTTAGGATAGTGTCTTAATTTCACTTTTGTTGCTATGACAACAATACACACACACACACAACACACACACACACACACACACACACACAAGCAGCTTAAGGGAGGAAGGGTTTATTTGCTCGTAGTTTCAAGTCAAGGTGGCATAGTTTGATGGAGGTGGTCACAGGACACCTCCAGTCAGGAGCACATCCACAGCTAGAGCGGAGAGCATTCGTGGATGCATGCACAACAGTGTCAGCGCTCTCTCTCTCTCTCTCTCTCTCTCTCTCTCTCTCTCTCTCTCTCTCTCTCTCCTAATTTGTCCATTCCCTGAGCATCAACTCACCTCCCCCAAAGCTTCTTCATTTCTGTCTTTCTTTGTGCCCCTATATGAGTCTCAAGTCTCCCACAGAAATTAGTGGGAGGCAGCTGCTAGCTGCTAGCCCGTATTTACGGCGGTTCTTTGCACCTCAGTTACCACAATTAAGCAAATCCCTGTAGACTTCCTACACACAGGCCAACCTAATGCAGACAGTCTTCTCACTGAGACTCTTCCCATGTGAGTCCAGATTGCCTTCAGTGGACTGTTAAAATCAACCATGGCAAATGGTTTGGAAAGTAACGGTATAAACCAATTCATCCCTCCTCTTCCCCCTCCTCATCTATTTCCCCCTTTTCCTTCTCTTCCCCTCCATTCTCCCTCTTCCTCTTCTCCTCCCCCCCCCCCCCCCGCCACCGGCAGAGCATCTTCTCCTCCTCCCTTCCTCATCCCCTTGTGGAGGGGAAGCCATGCCTACTAGTAACAACAGGACTTATTCCCACTGTGGACAGAGAGAATCTGCCTCACCCTCTCTCTCTTCGTGGAAAAGTGGTTTTGGTTTGTCTACGTGGTCTAGATGCCATTCTTGATCAGACAGTTATGACAAGAGAGTGCAGAGAGCCCACCTCTATGAATTGTGCAGAGACGGTAAGAGCACCATTATCTCCTGGAAGATGCCTGCAGATCCCAGGGACTTTCTGGTCTCCATTATTCCGTCATAGGAATTTCATTCATTCATTCACATTACCCATGTGGTTATGGAGTGATTTTCATCATTTTCTCTTTCGTTTATTCTTTTCCCATTTACCTAACTATTGATTCAACAACAACAAAAAAAAAAATGTGCATGCAGGAATACAGGACATATTAGGAGGTGGTTAATTGTTTATACCTTTTTTCTATAAAAAGCAGTCCTGAGAGACAGCTCTATGGTCAAGGTCACACAGGCTGTTATTACAGAGGTCCTGGGTTCCGGTCCCAGCACCCACATCCGATGGCTTACAGCTGCCTGTAACTCCAGCTCAGGGGGACCCTCTGCCCTCTTCTGGTCTCTGTGGTCACTGAACTCACGTGTGCATATATCCACACACAGATACATCATTTTCCCTTCACTTTAGGATCTGTCCTAGTAAACTGTTAAAGCAAACTTTCATATGCCTCAATCTCAAGTGACATGGCCAGAACTAGAGAAAGTGTGACCACTTCTGGCTGTGTCTCCTCAGGAAAGCCAACGGGGAGGATTCTGGGCTGTCGAATGACGGAATACACTGGTAGCTTGAAGAGTCCCTTTCCTACTCAGCAGGTGGGGAATGTTGAGTCCAGTGTGTCTATCAGACCAGCCTCAGGACTGCTAGTCATGAAGAAGACAGAAACATCCACAGCTGGAAACAGGTTACGGGGGCAAAGCAGAATTACTTCAATAGCTTCTTCTGGCCTTAACCTCCTTGTGTCTTAAATGCCCAAAGACCTGTTGTGGAAGAAGACAAGAGTGATGTCTTCCCTCCAGCGGGTCCTCCTCAGAGACAAATCATGAAAGAATCCTGACATTCTATGCGGACAGACCCAGTGCCACAAAAAGATATGCAGATTCATTATTAAATAAACAACTGATAGGATACACCTTCCAGAACACACGACTGGTCCACTGACTCCAGGCAGCAGCTCACTCAGCAAGCATCACTGAGGGTCTCCACACAGACACCCTGCCCTCCCCAGTGCGTGTCGCTGGAGGGACCACAGAAGCAGGACTCCACCATTTGGTTTCCAGGTCTATAAACACACCTTCTGTGAACACATACAAAGGAAACCCTCGGAATATGGTGCATCCAGAAACCACATATTAACAGGGAAATGTTCTGTGGGATGATGGGAATGTCAGCTGTGCTGCTGGAGAAAGAGAGAGGGAGGAAGGGAGGGAGAGAGAGAGAGAGAGAGAGAGAGAGAGAGAGAGAGAGAGAGAGAGAGAGAGACTTCCTTTTCTCTGCAGGCCAGAATTTCCCCACAAACCTAAAGTCAGGGCAAACATACAATGAGAATCAGCCAGCCAAACAGCAGGCTCATATGGCTGTTTTGTTTCTCTCTCTCTCTCTCTCTCTCTCTCTCTCTCTCTCTCTCTCTCTCTCTCATGTGTGTACGTATGTGTATGTATGTGCATGTTCCTGTGTGGGTGGGTGTATATATGTGCATATGGAAGCCAGATACCACATTCATCCTCAGACACCATCCACCTTGGGTTTTGTTTGTTTGCTTGACTGAGACAGGCCCTGAGGCTGGCCTGGAACTTGCAGATTGAGCTAGACTGGCCAGCCAGTGAGCCCCAGAGACCCACCTGCCTCCACCTCCCCGGAGCTAAGATTATAAGCAAGTGCTGCCATGCTCTGCTTTCGCCATGGGTGCTGGGTTCAAACTCGGGTCTTCATGCCTGCAAGCCCATCTCCCAGTCCCTCCCTTGACCCTTCTCTCTCTTTGCCACTCATCACCAAATGTCACTCTCCTCTTCGGGGATCTCTATATACACAAGAAGAATCTCCCAGACTTTGCACTCTAGAGACCCCAATGGAGGCCACAGCTTTTCCCATCAGCAGAACAGAGACGGGAAGTCCAGGGTCAGTAGCCACAGTGGAGTGTGTTTATTGGAAACCCTAGCTCTGGTTGTAATTTCTTGCTTAAAGTCCAACTTCACTCAGCATGAGGGCCAAGTGGGCAGGAATACATTTGCCTCATTCACTGAAGCACTTCCAGAACCCTGCTCCATGGCTGGCACGTGGTGGATACTCAGTAACTATGTGTTGAACGAATGGACTTGTATACATCTGCCTGATGGAATTCTCCCCACAAGATCTGGAGTGATCAGCCCCATTTTTTTTTCCTACTTATAAAATGACTCAACCTCTCCCATCTGGTAGTCATTAATAGCTTCATTTATAGGTCGGGGGAGTAAGGCTGTGAGAGGTGAAAGTACTTTCGAGGGGACAGATAGCCAAGAAGAAAAGCGCAATGGTTTGGAATGAGCACCAGCTCACTCATAGCCCCTAGGCTTGTTCCCACCCAGGAGGAGGAGCTTGCCAAATAAATTTGAATAAACATAAGGGTAGAGCTGGTACGCTTCAAGGGGTGCTTCAGAACACCACACTGCAGCTCCCTGAGAGTCAAGGAAGTTACATAAAGACTTTGGGGACCTAACTCTGAAGCCACGGATTGTTGCCTCCACACAATGTAATAGTCACACAGACCAGCTCTGGACTAACGTGGAAAGGACTTACACAAGAGAGTGAACATGGAGATGTTAAAAACCACAAACATCCTGGGGGAGTGTGCATGTCACCCCTAACAGCTAACCTGGCTTAGTGCACGTGGGTGACAAGGGTATTCCAAGTGTCCATCTTTCCAGCCTGAAGTCAGAAGACACAGCCAGAGGCAAGTCATGTGACCTCAGTCCAGCCAGTTGGATACCCTCTGTCAAAGCTGTACATCTTTAGTGAATTAGCAAATGGTGTTGGCAAACGCTGCATCTGAGCACAGTAGTGCACACCTTCATCCCAGCAGTCAGGAGGTAAAGGCCCAATGATTGTGAGTTCAAGGCCAGCCTGGATTACATAGCTTCCTATGGCTGGCTTGAGACTCCTGGCCTGCTCTCCCGCCCCCTATAGGGCATCCGTGATTCATTTCCTCTCTTTAAACCTGGTTTTCAAACCTTTCTGACAATTTGGGACTGTCCAGGCAATGCATTGAATAAATTAAATTGTGCTTAAGCCAGTCTGGGTTGGCTTGTGCTTCTACACAACCACATCCCCTGACTGAGAACCTGGCTGCTTTTCCACATTTTCTAAAATAAATGTATGTTTCTCTTACGCTTGGGTGGGAGGGCAGGGTAGGGAGAAAAGTCCTTTTGAAAACACTCCAGGGCTCTGGCCAACTAAAGCCCCTCTTGAGGGCCGCCTTTCGTCTTGCAGAGAGTAAGAGTTCTCACCTCATTTGGGCGCAGACATACACAAATCCAGCGAGTTAAAAGGAGGAGGAAGGTGTGAGACCTGTGGGAGTTTGGCTGTGAGTCAAGTCACCCGGGCCTGTCTATTGACACATGACACCACACTTTGAACACTAGCAGAGCCCTGCTCTCACCGATGGCTCCAGATAGAGTTCAAGACGCTGAGATCTGAAGACCATCTCTCTCCAGTGTCTCCCTCATCCTTACACCCCCTCTGATGCTTTTAGGACCAAAGCCAGAAGAGCCACTGAAGGAAGCTACAAAGACCACAGCTTGCAGATGAAGAGTTAAACGTGGAGACCTTATCCACAGTCGGTACAAGAAAAAAAATCCAATTATATGCTCTGGAGTGAAGAGGTGGGGCAGACAGAAAAGAGTCGCAATACTTACCTGGCAGGGGAGATGCCATGACCACGAAAGAGGTTTTTCCCAGGGCAAGGCTTGTGCATTGTACTCTGGATGGGCTGACCCCTGCGATTTCCCCAAATGTGGGAAACTTGACTGCATAATTTGTGGAAGTGGGGTACTGTGCCCATGCTCTCCCCTTTAAGTTAAAAAAAAGGGGGTTGAAACAAAGCTGGCGGGGTGGCTCAGTGCGCAGGTCCCTGCTGCACGAACATGGGCCCTGAGTTTGGATCCCCAGCTCCCATGTAAAAAGTCAAGGGTGGCCTTGCCCATGCTGTGAGGGGCCGAGACAGGAGGATTCCTGGGGACTTACGGCTGCCAGCCTATCTCCAGGTTCAGGAAGAGGCCCTGTCTGTAGGGACTAAGGTGGAGAACGATAGAGCAGGACACGTGATATCTTCTGGCTTCCAAGTATCCACAGGCACGTGTATCTGCACACACGTGTGCATACATATAAAATGAGAATCAAGGGGAGTGGAACAATGAGGGTCCCCTCTCACAGAGTGAACATTTGTTCCAAGAGTGAAATGGGAGGCAAACTGGCCCTCAGTGCATGAACAACAACCTCACCACACACACACACACACACACACACACACACACACACACACGCACACGCACACGCACACGCACACGCACACACGCACGCCCTAGTACCCAGTGGCTTAAAACTCATTGCCTTTCACTCAGATGCCTGTGCAACACACCCAGCCGCTTTGTGCGCCTTCTCAAACCCAGAGAGGGTTCTTCCAGGGTGGAAAAGCACAGTGCCCTGTCGGCTTGCAGAGAGATGGCATACGGGCCTTTAATAAAGCGCCACCCTAAGAGAGGCTCAGGGGTGGGCACTGCCTCTGTGCAGCCTGCCCTCAGCTCCATGCTCCCTGTGGGGACTCCTAGGCAGGAGCAGTTCTGTCTGTGGAGGCTCCCCCCTCTCCCTCGCCCTCCCCCCCACATCATCCTCAAATTTGCCCTCAGAGAGAGCAGGCTCAGAGAAGCCAGAATGGGCACTGAGGACCACCCAGCCCCTGTCCAGTGGCTGTTAATTGAGTTCGTTCGTGTGTGTGTGTGTGTGTGTGTGTGTGTGTGTGTGTGTGTTCATGTGTGTTCATGTGTGTTCATGTGTGTTCATATGTGTTCATGTGTGTGTTCATGTGTGTTCATGTGTGTGCAGGTGCATAAGTGGGGTTGGGGGATGATGTGCATATGTGACATGGAGGCTAGAGAACAACCTTGACCACCGTACTTCACACGCTATCCACCTTGTTTTATTTGAGGCAGGGTCTCTCCATGGCCTGGAACTCATTGGCTGGCCAGCTAGCAAGCCCCAGGGATTCTTCAGTCTCTACATTCCCAACACAGGGATTGTAAGCACCCACTACCATGTCTAGCTGTCTTACATAGGTCCTGGGCATCGAATCCAAGTCCTTGTGCTTACTGGCAAGACAAGCATTTTATCAATGAACTCCCATCTCCCATCCCCACGCCCTCCCCTCTCTTGAGTGAGCTCACAACGGCCCAAAGCAGCTGAATTTGAACTTGACAAAGAGAGACATTCCTGATTGCTGGGCTGACAGGCTGCAGAATTTCAGCTCAGGCTGAAGTTAAAAAAAAAAAAAAAAAAGTAGGGGAGGGGGGAAATAACCCAGAGCAACTAAAACTCATCAGAATGTTCCAGATAGATTCATGATAAGCTGGAAATTGCTGAAAACCCCAACAGTCAGAGCGACCCAACTGCAGCTGGAAGGTGAGACCGAACTGAGCTAAGAGTCTGTGTCACAAAGTTTATTATTTTATTAGTTTTAATCGCTGGGTAGATAAGCTAATAGCAATGGGATTTACTTTAAAGATCAACACCATCCACTCAGCTGTTTATTATTGGACAGTAATGTGTCTCCTGCAAAGGGAATATTAAATCTCATAGCACTCTGTGCCCAAAAGCCACGCGGACCCTTTCTGTCCCCCACCCTGGATTTTCCCCGTTGGCTCACACCTCTGGCATTTTGTCTGGAGTCCGAGGGTTCTTGGGGGTGCCGCAGTCCCAATTTGCGTCCTATGGGCAAAGGATGGAACTGGGGGGCGACCTTTCTCAGAATCCTGTTAACCAGAAGCAGAGAACTCATCCTCTGGGTGGTGGAGGCTGGGTGGGAAAGAGGAGAGAGTGGAGCCTCGGGAAATTAGTGGAAGTAAGAGAAGGAGCACAGGAAGATTCTCAGGGCAGGGCCTGGCCAGTCCTGAACGAATGCCAGGGGTCCCCAGAAACCGTCGGGGTAGCAGATGTCTACAGAGCCTGTGCAGTCACCATGTCTGGGTCAGAAGTCCTGTCCTGACATTCTCATAGTTTCAAATGTCTCCCCGACAAGATACTTAATTACACGGTTGGAGGCAGGAGAGGCTTCGTTTACAAGCGTGTGACAGGCAGACACCACCAGATCACGGCTGGCTCCCCCATCTCAGGTCACAGGGCCGGCCGGCGTCTCCAGATACCGCGCACCCAGGCCATAGCATCACCTGTGCGGCTCCTGGCAAACAGGATACATCGTGATGCTTAGGTGACAAATCCAAATTGATGAGCATCCTACGAAACAACTGGCCTGAATGCTTCAGGACGGTCACCGTAGCAACGGATGAGAGATCCAGTACTCTTGCAGAAGGGCAGAAGCCACAGAAGGTGACCGGTGACATACTGCACCATTTTTATTATTATTATTATTATTATTATTATTATTATTATTATTATTATTATCATTATTATTATTATCATTATTATTATTATTATATCTTTACTCCATGTATGTGTGTGTGCACATGTGTATGCACACATATGTGTATTGGGGTACGACCTGAATTGGATCCCTGGGGCCTGCACAGTGGAGGAAGATCACTCCCACAAGTTGTCCTCTGACCTCTGCATACATGCCACGGTGCATGCACACACACATGTGTACACACAGGCACAGAGAGGAATGATTTTTGAAGAAAAAATTTTTTAAATAATTCTCTGCTCTGTCACCCTGGAGTTCTGGATGACCTGACATCTCAGAACCTCGGCTGGCTCCACCCCAGTTGGGGATTTTTCCGTGACAGGCTACAGGACATTTTCTTGCAGAGGACAGACTGTCCAAAGGGTAAATCATTAAGTCCCGGGCCCTCTCTAGTGTGAGGCCACAGGCTGCAGCGTCAAGGGCTGGAGCATCGATGATACAAGGCGTCCAAGTAATAAAAAATCATGATTTTACATTTGGCCCTGGCCATTCTTTCCAACAAGCTGTGTCAAATTGGAGAGATCAGCTCTGAGAATCCTTTCAGAAAAGGCTTTTCCCTTTCGAGGCTGTTGTGGGAATGGAGTGAGGTCATCTCTCTGCAGGCCTTAGGGCCGTCCTGGCACACAGTAGGGGCTCAAGTCACAGCGGCTCTGTCACTGCCCTGTCACTTGTAGTCACTGGTGAGCAGAGTGCCTATTTGACTCATCGTCCCTAGAGGACAGACTACTGCGGTCCACACACAAGGGACGTCAGAGTTTTGCAAGTCGATAGAGTCCAGTTCATTCTGGAAGGCCGGGCTGGCTCAGGGAGTGAGGTTCTAACGGTAGCCCCATGCTGGCCTCATGGGTTGCAAGCCCGGGTGGCTGCCGAAGCTCTGAACGCAGAGTGTTTTAAATCCCTGCACCTGGCAGAGGGTCCGTTGTGAACAGGAGTGAGAGCCCTTGTCGCCGGGGAAGGGAAATTGGTGTGAAATTAACAAGGTCATGATCCAGCTCTTTGGAACCTGGGTTCCCAATTTTCTGCCTTAATGAGAAGTCCCTGGAGATTTTTTTTCCCCACCCTTTCCCTGTCCACATCACGTCTTTCTGACTGAAAAACACGTACTGGCGCACATCATCCAAACCATGATTTCTTTAGTCCCTTTAGTGTTTCAAAAAGAAGAAAGAAAGAGAGAGGGGGAGGGATGGAGAGAGAGGGGGAATAGAGAGAGGGAGAGAGAGAGAGAAAGAAAGAGGGAGGGAGAAGAAAAAAAGAGGGGGAAGGGGAAGAGAGAAAGAAAGAACCTTTGAGAAATTTCCCTCCTGCTGTCCCTAAAGTGGCATTCACTCCTAGGCCACCCAGAGAGAGACATTCCAAGGTCTTAAGGAATTGGTCTTGGGCCATTAAGGGTTAACATCCAAGGGGCAAGGCTGAGGCTGGGCCCCCTTCTTGGGAGCTGAGACTTCTGCAAGAGCTGAGGATCCTAGTCAGAGGGCATCAGACATAATCCCACATAGGCCCCGCCCCCATGACATCTACCCAGGTGAACTGTAATCTGTAATCCTGCGTGCAACACACCAGTACCTTCTGTTCCTTCCTTACCTGACTGACCGTCTCCCCATAAAGTCCCAGGCCTATTGATTCCCCTCTGACTTCTAGATACTCCAATGTGACAAAAGCCATACCCTCTGGCTATGTGGTGTGGGCCACATGCTTTGCATATAGGAACAGGAAGGACTTTGCCAAAGTCACAGCTATCGAACACCAAGGTATCACCTAGCAGTTGCATGTGGATGTTTCTTCGCTGTCCTGACGCATTCCTAAGGATAGTGGCTACCTTCAGAAGCTGGGAAGAAACCATGATGGAGGTCTCCTACCTGGACAACACACGAGTGACCACTGCACAGGGTGGATATGTGAGTTTCGGGTCAAATGCACTCCATCTTCTTCTCCCAGTCCAGCGAGAGGCATTCCCCTTGCTGGGTCCTTGTGATTGGGTAAGGTCATGTGACTAGTCCTGCCCAATAGGTTGTGAGAAGAAGTTCCATGGTCAAGGCCAAGCCAGATTTAATAATGAATGTGAAATCTCTTGGAATTCTCTTAGTTCTGTTGTGAATACTGATAGTGTGTGAGGTGATGATGCTCTCTAGGTTGGGTCCCCAACAAATGGAACACCCGCCCCCCAAGACTTGTGACAGGCACTAAGACTCTTGACTGACACCATGGGGACATAATTTTAGGTTAACATACTCCAGCATGGGTCCTATCTGGTATGTAATGAAAGCCTAATTAAGCTCATAGCTAGATGCTTCTAATTACATTAAGGTTACTTTGATTATATCAATACTAAGTCCAAGCCCTTATACCAAGGTCGGCTCTGGCTTTGTCAAAGGGATAGAAG